ATGCAGAAACTGTACCTGGCAGTCATATAGTAACTATTATCCTTAATCATAACTTCTATACATTTTTCACTGCATTAATTTTGGCTGATTGCTGATAAAAACTGTCAGAGAACTTTAAATATTTGTGCTTTCCTTTATGAAAAATATGAAACATATACATTATATAGTTTCCCTAGTTCCATGAAACTGTGAAACTTTAATGCCCAGGTTGTTATTCCTGGTTCCATTATTTACTATTTCTAAAAAAGCTATTGCTAAAATTGTCAGAGTTATAAATCTTGAAGCAATTACCTGTTTCTTTTTAAACAATAGCAGTATGGTAACATAGGCACAGACATGTACAAATCTTCAACAATATCTCTTAGTGCAATAAAGATACTCTTGCTTAAGCAGTGTTTATCATTTAAACTTATTCCTTAAAATATTAATATCAACATATCATAACCACTAGAGAAGCTCTTCTCAGGAAATACTTATTTAAACCTGTAAAAATTCAACTGCACGTTTTAAAAGTATTATTCCAAGCAAGACTTGTCAAGTAGTGCTGTTCTAAGGATTCTAAATGTCACAAACTGAACACCAAAAGTAGGAACAATGTCACAAAGGCTATGCATTTTCCCAATATGGTTAAACAACATACCTTCTTACACATCAAATTCCTGAGTATAAATTTGACAATGTAAAGTGAAACCCTCAGATTTGCATGCTATTCATGAAAATCAAAATTACTGCAGACATCCTGAAGTGGTGCTAAAAACCATTGCTACATCTGGTTTGAATCTTATGGAGTGACTTAAGAAACATCTCTTTTAATATCAGTGTATTAAAGCAGATTATTTATTAATTAAATGTGATAAAGACATTTGCAGACAAGGTTCTTTGGGTAAATATGATATCTTTTATTAGACCAACTAAAATAGTTGGAAAAAATTTTCTTTCCAAGCTTTCAGATACAAACGCCTTTCCTCAAGCTGAGGAAGTATCTGCAGTTCTGTGCTCTTCATGGATAGGATAGAATAACATAGAAGCCAGAGGCCAGTATATCAGTGAAAATGCAAATTGAGGCAGTCAATGTGTGAGAAACAGGTTGGAGGCAGAGGGGAAAGGGAATTCAGACCTGGTAATAAGATGTAGCTGGTAAATAGTAGACAGCTTATCTGGGGTAACAGATTTTGGGGAGGTTATAATGTGCCATAAATCCAATGTCTATATTTAGTCCATGATTTTTGTATCCAGTAGGTTGATGTAGTGAAGTTCATAGTTTTGTCTCCAAAAGGTGTTTTCTAGATTCACTTTGACAACTGGAACTGAGACACTGGAGAGAGAGTGGTTGTCTTGTGAGAAGGTTCAGTGTTTGTTTAAAGGCTAGGATGGGTGGTTCTGGAAAGATCTCTTTAAGAACTGGGTCTACTTCTAGTATGGGTTGCAAATGTTTATGGATTTTTACATGCAATTGTTACGTGTGTTCTCAGTGCAAATTCAGTGGTATCGGAGCTTGTAATATACAGTAATATACAAGCCCTGTAATATACAGCTTGAATCAAAGCTGTATATTACAGCTTTCTTGGTGTGTTTAGGGTGATTGCTGGTTCTGTGCAGATGTGTATGTTGGTCCATGGATTCTTGTATACGGTGGTTTATATTTTACAGTGCTGAACAGTGATCATGGTGTCTAAAAAGACAATATTAGTGATGGAGTATTCAAGAGACTGTCGATGGAGAGGTGATGATTATTGAATTTCTGATGGAAATCAATCAAAGACTAGGTTTTCCATCCAGATGATGTTGTCATCAATGTATATCAAGTACAGCATGGGTTTGATGGTGCAGTCCTTGAGAAATTATTCTTCCAGGTGGCTCATAAAAAGGTTGGCATATTGTAGGGCCATTTTGGTGCCCACAGCTGTGCCCATGGTTTGGAACACTCCAGCACCAACATTTTCTTTTTAAACACGATGATCACTAACCTGTCCAAACTCATCAGCAGAAGCCAATGTTCTATGGCTCAAAACACACATAATGGATCCAGATCATGACATGACAACGAATGTAAAACCTGTCAACATATCTCCACCATCCCCCGCAATAGAGACACCCCACAACAGAACCATCACCATTCTTGGATCTTATACTTGCACCTCCAGAAATCTAATACATCTCATTCACTGCGCTAAATGCCCTGATAGAAAACACACTGGAGAAACCAAACAACAGCTGCATACCAGAATAAATGCACATTGAAAATCTATCAAGGACAAAAATACTCAATTACCTGTGGGGGCACACTTCTCACAAGACAACCACTCTCTCTCCAATCTCTCAGTTCCAATTGTCAAAGCAAATTTACAAAACTCCTTTTTCCTACACACACACACTTCCCTTGCTTTATGTTGTACATGCATTCCTGGAAAACGCTGCATAACTTAAAAGGGAACCAACTTTACAATGTAACAAATAGGGATATGTTCCAAGAGCTCAACTGTATTGCCCACCAGACCCATTTCTACTACTTTTACAAGACAATTTTGGTACTCACAAACAGCAGTCAGTACACACAAGCATAAGGCACTATCATAATGGGGATGGCAATTACAGAAACATGTTTCACAGATGAGCAAGAGGCACAGCTCCACACAGAAGACTATATTTTGGTGTGTGTCACTCCCACAGTGCACTGCACAAAGCAGCTGACTGCAGGCATCCACAACACTGTTTGCATGAGTGCATTTACCTCACATATAACAAATTTTGGTATAAAAGGGTCATCACATAACAGTTAATTTGCACATACAGAACTCATATAAAGCAAGGGAAATATGCATATATGTATATATAAATATAAATATATGGACTGTGCAATATGAAACAACTTAACAAGAAAGAAGCAAAATTCAACATCCTGTTTGCCATCAGACACTTCTGATGTAAATAAACTGCTCCAACTTTTACTTGAGCCTAATTAGCATACAAATGAACTTTCCCACCCAGAGAACTTATACCATCCTCCAGTTCTCCTGTGCAATACGAAGTTTCATTTCTGCCTGGGAGAAATTTTTAAATCTTTGCATTCTCCTTTGCCTGAGGAAGGGTGTGTGAACACAAAAACTTGCAAATAGAAATTTTTTTGCAATGTTTTAGTTGGTCTGATAAAATATATCTCCTCTACCACAAGAGTTCTGACTGCACTAAATATAGACATTGGATTTATGGCACATTATAACCTCTCCAACATCTGAAACCCCAGATAAGATGCAGCTGGTAAATAGTAGAAAGGTTATCACCAGGTCTACATTCCCCCATCTGTTTCTCACCCACTGACTGCCTTAATTTGCATTTTCACTGACTGACATTCTTGCATACTGGCCTCTGGCTTCTATTCTATTCTATTCTATCTCATCCAGGAAGAGTACAGAAAAACTGCAGACGCTTTCTCAGCCTGAAGAAGGGTGTTTGTACTCAAAAGCTTGAAAAGATGAATTTTTCCAACTATTTTATTGGTCTAGTAAAAGATATCGTATTTACCCAAAGAACCTTGTCTGCCTATGTCCTTAGAACAGAGGCGGGCAATTATTTCAGGAGGAGGGCCACTAACCAAGTTGTGGCAAGCTGTCCAAGGCTGCATAGGTAGCCCTGCCCCTTGACAGGTGCCCTGCCCCCTGGTCACCATCTTGGGACCAATGTCCCAATGTCTTGGGACCAATATCTCAGGGCCAGCACTGGTGGGGCCCAGAGCAGGATGCAGGCTGGCAGGGGTCTGTGGAACCGTGCTGGGTTGTACCAGCAGAGAGGGGGGAGAGCTGGTCCGGCTCCACAGAGCTCCTGCCAGCTGGGACCCTGTACTTCTGCCACCCTGCTCTGAGCTCTGCTGGCACTGGCCCTGGGACATGGGTGCAGGCCCTGCTCCTGCAGCCGCTCACTCCCAGTGCCCCCCCAGCCCCATGGTACGGGGGGGGGCAGCGTACAGCCCTGACCGCCTGCTCGCCAGGAAGGAAGGAGCTGGTGTGGAGCACGGGGGAAAGGTGGCCCCTCACCTGCCCCGTGGCCCACGCTCCCTGCTGCAGCTGCTTGCAGCCCGTGCAGGGCTGTCCTGAGCAGGCACAAGCAGCCCCATGCGGGCTATGAACGGCTGCAGCATAGGGCGCCAAGCACGGAGCGCATGAGTGCCCGCTTTTCCAGTGCTCAGCACCAGCTTGTAACCTAGCCCCACTGCTGGAGCTCATCTGCTGGGCAGCAGCAGCAAACACTGCCCAGTGTGGCAAGCAGGGGGGCCTCAGCTGCTGCCGCCATGGCACAGCCCCAACGGGTGAGCCCAGAGCTGGTGCAGGGCCCAAGCTGGCAGTGGGGTTGGGTTACAAGCTGGTGCTGAGCGTGGGGGGAAAAGCAGCCCCTCCCTTGCCCCATAGCTGGCACCCTGCACCGCAGCTACTCACAGCCTGCATGGGGCTGCCTATGCCTGCTCAGGACAGCCCCACGCGGGCTGCAAGCGGCTGCAGTAGCAAGCGTGGGCCATGGGGTGGGCAAGGGGCCACTTTTCCCCATGCTCAGTTTTTCCCTGGGGTCCTCCCCTGCCCTTCCCCCTACCTGAGCTTCCTGCGCTAGGGCAGTCACATGGTCCCAAGCCAAGAGCCCCTGCTGGGGCTTCCAGCTGGGGGGGCGGGGCTGGGCAGGCCCTGCTGTTGTGGGAGCCGTCCAGGGCTTCTCCTGGGTCCTATCGCCCTTGGTTCCTGTCATCTTTGACAGGAACCTAGGACAGATATATTTTAATTTTCTAAATATTTTTAGGGGCTCCGCAGGCCAGATAGAATGGCCTCACAGGCCAGATCCAGCCCACAGGCCGTATTTTGCCCACCCCTGCCTTCAACCAACATGGCTACAACCAATACCCATAAAGATATTCGTGTCTTCTGCATTACTATATGCTGTATACAAATTGTGGGCACTTCATCAAGTGCTCCATAAAAAAAATTGTTTGGCATAATACAGTAATATTTAATACTTACTATTTATAGGTTTCTGAACGAATATATTCAAAAACATGAGAGACTCCCAGCTGGAACTGGTCAGCAATAGGGGTGACCCAGGGATTATTCTCTGCTTTGAAGACTTGCTTTTGACCAGTCAAATCCAAATGACCTGAAAGGGAGCAAACAAAAGAAAATCTTTTATCACAGATTAATTTCTCATTGTGTATATGAAGTTGTTCTTTCTTCCAGAAACAATACACCTACAATCAAAGCAAATTTCAGTATTTTCAGGCTTAATGTGAGAAAAAGGAAGGCACATTCGTTTCCATCACAGAAGTTGTAGAACCAAATCCTCCCCTAATCCCCCACTTACTTTGTATCACAGCATTTGCAGCAGGTATTGCTTTGGCTCCAAGCACTTCATATTTATTCATTAAATTAAGCCTTCATTTGGACTTAATGCAGAGGCCTTGGTCAGGCCTTCTACATAGGAGGTAAAATTTAATGCAGCACTAACAGAATGAGCAGATGAAGAACTAAAACTCAAGATTTCCTGACTCTTATGCCAGTGCCTATCTTTTCAGAGCATGCTAACTATGCCAGGGTATAATATTATAATAATATTATGCCATAAAGAATAACATAAATGATTCCAATTTTTTAAGGACAGCTCACTAGTATTTTTCCATTACAGTGGCTAGCAAGAATGAACAGGGACATGAGCTGTTGCATAGCCAATATCCCATGGTGCAATCCATCTCCAGCATCAATGCTCAGAGCGCAAGCCCAGTGAACAAACCTCAGTTGGTTATTAGCCTTTTCAATACCAAACATTAGCACTGTTTTTCCTGAAATCCTACAGCTCACTGTTGGGCTATACTTCTCAGTCCAAGGTCAAACATTTTTAATTACAAGCTGCCAGTATATATGCTCGTTTGAAAACAAGGACTTGAGACTTACTAGAAGCTTCAGCAACTGTTACATTTTCCAACCAGAAAAATTTATGCTGAACTGAAGGCTGAATTTCCCCATGACCTGGGGACACTGTACTAAATTCTAATTTTACTAAGTCAGTGACATTACTATATATATTTGATACATTAAATGATTTTTAATACAAAATAAAACATGGTCACTATTTTAAATTTATTATTGTGCATTTTGTGACTGAGGACTATAACAAAAGTGATGACAATTTAAAAACTGTTGTAGATCATAATGGAAAAAATATAGCATTTTTCATCTAACCAAACTAGCTTATAATTATAGCATCGAGTGTAGCAGGCCTGCTGAACCGAACTGTTATTTCCATACAGAATAAATGATGTGCTTATTTTTCAAACCAATAGCATTTGTATATATAGAGTTAACATGCATATATGACTGCAATAGCTTCAACCAACTGCTGTTTGCTGGTGGTCTCAGCTGTATTTCACCATGCTCTGCATTATATTTAATCCTTAATGCTGCTCTTTCTATGAAAAAGGGTTAACATAATTAGGGTAAAGCTAGACCATTATACTGTGTGAAAAGATGACACTTGTCTCATATAGGCCTATCAACAAGTTACCATTACCTCAGCAAAGCTCATCTGTCAGCTGTCTGAAGTCTGTTCTTTTTAAGTAATAACATGCAGGAAGCATTTCACCCCTCTGTCAGTCAGGCGGCAATTGCCCTAACTGCCTTACGCTTCAGTGCTTCTAGTTAGGAGTCTCACACCCATCTCCTTTATTAGAGGACTCAGCAGCACTGCTGTTCTAACAAGGATCAGGCAGCAGGATTAAGCACTGTGACAAAGAGGACCTAATAAGCAAGGAACTGGTGCATCTAAATCTTTGCTAGCTGGCTCAAGACACAGACTTGCACTGTTCTCTATTCAGTTTTAAGGCACAAGCCACTAGGGAAGCAAGCCAGCACTGTGATTAGCAGTAACCCTCTGACCGATGCTGCTATGAAGATCATATATCACTCAGAAGCTTATTCTGCAATTGCAAATTGGATTTTTCATTTTATTACCTGCAAAAGAACCATATGCATTTCTCTCCAAAGCCACCAAACACAGTAAGCATTCACTAACCATTATAATTCTGTAAGTGTTGTATACAAATAAAAATGATCAATCGGTGTACACCTAATATAAATGGTTAAATTCAGTGAGGCAAATTTAGCCACGCTACAGAACAAATTCAATTTTGCTTATGGAAATCAGTTACATATTTCCAAAATCTCAGCAGGAAGGTTCTTAGCTGAGGAGTCCAATCTTGAGTTGGTTCAATAATTTACAGCCCATACCAACTAAACCGGGGAATGCTGCCTTAACTTTCGCTCACCTCCTCAATGTACAGTTCCTGCTGCAGATTCTAAATATCATACTCTTCATTTAAATTTAATCAATTTAAAGACATGCCATGCTGTTGAAGTGAAAGGATATTACAGCAAAGAGAGGATCCCTTACACGCAACGAACTGTTGGTGTGTGCATTTGAAATACATCACATTACGTTTTCCCCTGCCACCGGCTTCACAAAAATGTCATATCTAGTTATAACGTTTAGGAATACTGGGTCTATGTCTATCCTAATCCCTGCCCACTTTTTGAAATAATGGATGAAGCAGCAATGCCCATAAACAGAACACTTTCACCAGAAAGATTGTACAAGCTGGCAGGAGAAGAATCCAACAAGCTTTACCACTGGACTCATGGTAGCATTGCCAAAGTGATACCCACGTAACTTACGTAAGATGTGCACATGTATAACTGCAAAAATGTCCATGTTCTTATATGTTCACAGATAAAATATTTGCGGGTGCTTACTTTTTCAGTGTAATAAACTGAACCAAGTAGGGCTGAAAAGCAACATTCCAAACATAATCCTAGTATGGGACAGTGCTTGCAAAAGCTCTTATGCCACTCTCTCTAGTACTGGGGCCCTGGGTAGGAAAATGGTCAGGGCAGATGTGCCCCTGTATGTGTAATTTAAATGTTATAAGTAGAATACTATCCCAAAGCCTTTAAGAAATACATATATTCTGCTAAATAGATCACATCATGTTATTTGGATATTTTTAGTAAGTGAAAACACAAAATTGCCTCTGGGAAAAATCCAGTGCTGTAGACTGAAACAAAATATGAGTGTTGGAGATTGCATCGATTATTTTTGTTTTGTTCTACCCATGTACATCAGTCCATTTAAATAGTACTTGTTTACTTTATCACAAACAAAATACGGTTATTCGAGCAGACTGTGAATGACTGTTAGAGGCTTGGGCCCATTGCCTCACTTTTACACCAAGTGAAGTATCAGAAGCTATGCTCCTTAAAACAGTGCTTCCATAGATGGGCAGCTGGAGAGAAGAGAATACAGCTAAGTTTTGCTCTCATGTAAAGTAGTCCCACCAGTAGACCTTTCGCTGCCACTACCATACTTTTAAAGAGGATTTTTCTTAGCACTGAGCTGTTCTAATTTGAATGTAAATTTATAAATATAATTTGAAATTAAAAATATTACCCCTAAATATCAGGTTCTGAAGCCCTGATTCACTTCCAGCAAAAAACAAAAAAAACCCCAAAGCCAATCTCCATAACTTTGCACCTTGAGTAGCTATTTACACTGGGGTAAAATGATTCAAAATTGATGTAAAAAAGCCACCCGATGAGACCAAAACAGCAGCATTTTGCACAGGAGCAAAAGACTATTCAAGATCTGAGACAGAAAAATCAGATCCCTGATTCCAGTCTGACAAGCAATGGTGAAAACCAAGAAGTAGCTCTAATCATGTTAAGAATCAATGGCTTACAGTGCTGCTCAGATACTGCATCAACATAGTAAAATCACGAGCCCCCCCAACAGGAAGATTTCAAGCTATTTGAACTCCGTTTGTGAGAAAGGAAAAATGTCACCTATCCTATGATTTCTCCCTTAAAAGGCATTAATTACCTTAATTATGGGATGCCTTGGCACAAGGGTTGCATTCATATGCAACTTAAATCCACCAGGATTAAGAAAGGACAGACACTGAAGATACAAGGCTAACTAAACTAGAGAGAGAAGGGAAGAAATCAGATTAAGTGGCTGTTACACTTTTAGAATGTGTCCTTCTAAAATAAAAAAATGTGGTTCTAATAAAATTTGTGGTTTTGTTGCCTGCCATAAATATTTGCAACCATCAAATGTCTCCAGCACTTATGACACCAAAGGATGAACTGTTCAAATTTGACCTACACAGTGAATATGAACATCTGCTTAAACAACTCAAAAGTAATTTATTTTTGTGCTTCCACAGTATTATTAAACAATACGAATAACACAAGCCTATGACTTAGTAGGTGCCACCTGAAAGTACAGAAGATGGAGCTCCAGCAAAGCTGAACTATTTACAAAGAAAACCAAATATTCCTACTTCCACTTTGATCTAGGCAAGTTTGGTTCACAGCTGTCATTGGTCATCAGTGATTATTTGTCCCTGCTCACATCCTTAGGTTTAACTGCTCCTCAAAATGGCGTTATGTATTTCTCCCTGTCTTCCTGTAATGCTGCTGGCACAAAACTGTACTGTATAAACTGCTCAATGTCTCCAAAAGCCAGACATAGCCTACAAAAAACAACCAAGCAACAGTTTGCTCTATAGTTAAATACAACTAATTTCCAGCAAATACCAGGTAGACAGTGTTGAGCTACCTATCAGGCTGACCAGTACTGTGTTGTTTCCTGTGCTCTTTGTCTGCTGGTCACCAGATATCTCATTTTAGACTGTAAGCTTCTCAAGACTATCTTCTCATTTGGCATTTGCGTAGGATCTACAGGCTCTAGCTCAGCGATACATTAGGCCATGACTGGGAGTCTCAGGCACTAGTTCAAATACACATTAAAAGTGAGAACGAAAAAACAGCACTTCTCACTTCAAGAGCACCAAGGAGCATTTATACTGCTTAAAAAAAGATGCAATGAAGTAATTAAACAATTGTGACATTTTAAAAGTGAAAGTTGGCATTCAGCATTCGAAACATTATCCTGCCTGTGAAATACCAGCTGAACACTTCTTCATAATGGGCTAAATTCAGCCTCATTGTAGCACCAGTAAAATCAATGGAATTACACAGGAGGCAATATTTGGCCCTATACCATAATCCCGATAGCTGTCTCCCTTTTACTGCCTCCCCTCACTACTT